AGCCCACAAAACACAAAACAGGGATAGAAGATGTTTGATTAATGTTAGCAACCATGCTGTATAACGTGTTCCTCCAGTGTCTCCAGATCCTCCGTCTTGAAAAAACAAGACATGAGTGACAGGAGAATAATCTTGGCCTCACTAAATTTAATGAAGCAACTCCCCCCAGGTGCAGTGGGCCACACTGGCCACTCCACTGCATCTATGTTCAAACTGTGAAGTGACTCTGAGTTTGGCACTGGGTCTTGTCCGCAAGCAAATCCCATGAGTATCCCCTTATCCTTAGAGGGTGGAAGCACTGCAACCACACCTTTACTGATGATTTTTTTTTTTTTTAACTTAAACTGTTAGGAGAGGCTGTGCTGCTTATCTCCATGCCCAAGTACAGACTTTCAGTTCAAGTCCCTATCTAGAAAACCTTTTATGTCTGCTTTCTCTCCTCTTCCCACACTTGCATGGATTTCCTGAGGCAGTTGGTGTTCTGACCTCTTGGATACAGTCTTCATCAGCTGTCAGGGTAAATTTGGTTGATACTGCAGGAATAGTTTATTCAGATTTAGACTGAAGAGGGGGAATAGCGATGGAGAAGCAAGAGCATTCCTCTGTCTCTGTCTGATATGTCTCTAGATACACTAACTTTTCAATAGTTATACTTTATTGATATTTTTTTTTTGGAATGAAAATTTGCAGGCCATGCAGAGAAATTTTTAAAAGTTTTTAGCGAAGCATACCCATGCACGCATATATAGATAAAAAAGTTCAATTTTTAATATCTATAAATTAAAAATAAATACTCTGATGTTATAAACAAATCTGGCAATCATTACATATTCTGTTTGCACATATGGGCAGCCAGAGGCTGGGATTTCATGTTTTTCACTGATCTAATCCATGCTGAGCTTAATTGTCTCTAATATACAGGTTAAATTGGTTTTCATTACATGCTGTAAGCTGTTGAAAGTATTAGTGTTGTCAATATCTAACAAGTGAATGCTTATCTCAAGTTGTATGTGACCAAGGAGAGTCATTTTATGTAAGAAACTTCTCACACAGAAAATTTTCCTAGATTTTAAAACTGGGAAGGATAATTACGATGGACTTAGCAGCAGGAGGCAAGCCAAGGCATTTCTTCCAGGAATTCTTTAACCCTGGAAGTACAACAATGACATGAGGGCGTTTTCATGCTTCACTTTACCCACCTGCACTGGACCTCCCAAGTGCCGCCTCTTTCCTTAAACCTCTTCTTCCATGTGTCTCTGATCCTGTGGAGCTCCTTGCCAGGGGATGGCATGGATCACTGATGGGAAAACGTCTGTGCTGGGTGGGAAGGCTGCTGGTTTGAGCTTACAGACTTTCAGTTTTTCCATCATTGAGGTAGAGCATGACTTCAAGTTGCTTGTACTGTGCGTGATGAGATAATGAGTTGGGCACGATAGCGTTACTGTGATGTATAATAAATAGATGGATACAGAAGCAATCACAGTATGCGAATTCTGACTGAGCAGAAAAGTTAAGACAAGTAGAAGTCAGAGCTGGTTGGTATAAAAATCTTGTGATCAGGTGGAAAAGATGTATTAACAGGGGAAGCTGATGGTGGTGATTTACCCAGATGTACGTGGGGTAACGCAAACAGGAAAATTTTAAGCAAAGTCTAAAGGTAAAGCTTTGCAAAGACCTGCTTATGCCATTTCCTAGCAGTCATTAAAGCTTCAGAATTATTTGGGGGTCAGCTTGGAATTATGATTTGGTTTTGATTTTTTTGTTTTGTTTTGTTTTCTCTTGGTTGAACTGCAGCAATGAAAATTGCTGACAGGCTGAGAGACTTCGGGTTGTTCAGCCTGAAGAAGAGAGGACTCCGGGGAGACCTTATTGCAGCCTTCCAGTACCTAAAGGGGGCCTACAGGAGAGCTGGGGAAGGACTTTTTACTAGGGCATGTAGTGATAGGACGAGGGGGAATGGCTTCAAACTGGAAGAGGGGAGATTTAGATTAGATATTAAGAAGAAATTTTTCACTTTGAGGGTGGTGAGGCACTGGAACACGTTGCCCAGAGGAGTTGTTGAAGGTCCATCCCTGGAGGTGTTCAAGGCCAGGCTAGATGGGGCTTTGAGCAACCCGGTCTAGTGGGAGGTGTCCCTGCCTACAGCGGGTGATAGGAACTTGATGATCTTCAAGGTCCCGTCCAACCTAAACCATTTTATGATCTAAAATATTGTAATGTGTGTTGAATTGTGGACCTAAAATGAAATAACAGTGTTCACATTCAAATTTTTAATGAAGATTTTTATTTATTCAGGGATTTGGAGTTGGGTGGTTGGGTTTTGGTTTTTTTTTATGGAAGCTGGTATTCATTCCTTCATGATAGGAAGACAAAAATTAAAGAAATAAGCCTTGGACCAGAGGGTAAGGAGATTTGTGATATGGAAATGTAGTCCCTAGTCTCAGAAGAGGCGCTGGGGACATTCATTCCCCACACAGGTGGGTTTTATCTTGGCGGGAACCACCTCTTCACTGCAATTCCAGTCCAAATCCAACACAAACTCCCAGACAGCTGGAGGATAATTCCCAAGCGAAGGGGTATGGCAGAGGACTGAATTGCTTGGGGTGACTTACCCTGTGGAAAGACACATCTCGGCACACTTACGTTCTTCTGCCATCCTGCACAGCAGATCACCAGTTCAACAAACTAGCAGCTTTCATCATAGTTTCCACACAGAGGGCAGGAAAGGGAAGTCCAGTAGGTCTTTTGGTCATCTTTTGGTCTTCATCCATCACTTGAAGGGACCAGCAGGCTTTACTGAGGAGGTGACAGCTCTGACATTTTGTGGATTAGGAATCAAAGCTGTTGCATAGTTACATTTTTTTCTGGGTTTTAAGTGGTTAAAGTTGGGTTCTTTTGTACTGTTGTGGTGTCAAAGATTTGCTGGATTCAGAACGATTGTTTACACTAAGAAATCTTTTAGCATTTAAGACTCCAGTTCAGGAAAAGTAGAGTGTTGTACCACGGACTCAGAAACATCTCTGACTTTGACACCTTTGACTTTGGGTCCTCAATGTCACTTTGCCAGTGACAGAATGGGGACCTTTGTTTGCCTTGGCCACTGCATAAAAAACCAGGATATGATCAAATCCAGTTAATCACTCACAAATGTCTCATTTCTTGAATCTCTGAGGGTGTGTAACACATTTTTGGGCCTGCTCTCTGCTCCTTTGGCTTTTGTTAGAAGTAAGTTAGTCAGGGGAAAATCAAATTTTGAGTTTTCTTAAAAGGAAGTGGAGGAATCCTGGAACACACTAGGGCTCTGCAAATGTACGTTTAATCATTTAAAGAAATGTCTTTTGGCTAAAAGCTCTTACCAGTGCTTGCAAGTTGCACTAAAAGCCATACGACTACATCATTCCCACAACTGATGTGAATTAGCGCCCTTGTTGGCAGTGTACGCGGAGAGATGCAGGCTTAGTGAGTACTAGGGACTGAATTACTCTCAAATTCATAGCGACTTTGTGCAGTCTGGGTGAAGTGTCCTAGGAGTGACTCTGCTGGCGGTAACACCAGCTCCTGACACAGTGGCATGCATGGAGGGAGACTCGGGCATGTCCTGCCTGCCTTGTTTTTCCTGTTAAAAGCGTTTGGCTCTGCTATGGAGCCGGGCAGTTACAGACATCTCCTGCAAACACTTATACTGTGCTTAAGGCAAACGCACACTCTCCAGGCAGCAGCAAACCAGAGAAGCGCGTTTCTACACGCGGCACGTGGTGGAACTCCCTGCTGCAAGATGTCACGGGGCAAAAAGTACATGGAGGTAGAGGCCTGAGCGCATTTGCGGTGAATTGGTCTATTCAGAGCTGGCAGTGAGACGTGATGACCTGGGTGTAAATGGGGGTCACCCAGCCATGCAGAGCTGGAAGCTAACAGACGTAACGGGAGAGAATCATTCTCTCCTTTCCCAGTGTTATTCACGTATGTATTTATATACCTTTAATATTCACAGTGGGACACAGTTGGAGACAGGTTATTGGGCTACGTGCATTTTAATAAACCTGTTAGTGGAGTTCTTGCCTCCTCACTTTATACCTCTAACCCACCCTGAAAACAATGTCGGACTCTGACAATAAGTTGAAAGCTTTGGAGGGATTACACTGCCTTATTGAGTCTGTACCCAAAGCCCTTTGAGGACTCCCATTGACTCCAGTGGGATTTGGTTCAGACCTCAAGTGTACAGGACTCCCTTAAGTAAACTCTTTCAAGGCCCGTACATGCTGCAATACTTATTTGGCTCTTTGTTACTCTGTGAATAGGAATGTGACCTTTACGCATCTAGCAAAGAGCTCTGATTTACAGGACTAAATCTTCATGTTTTGGGAGAGATAAGGTTACCATCCCAGCTCCTCCCAACCCCGCTGTGCAGGTGGCTGAGCGGTCGATGAAGCAATTCCTGAATCACTGCCATTTTAGGTAGATGAGCACTGAGCGTGCAGTACAGCGGCTTCAGAGCTTCTTCGTAAGCAGATGTCCACGAATGATGGTGGGCAGGGTGGACATCTGGGGTTGTAAGTTGTTCCAAGTCGTGAGTCAGAGCCCTAATAATATTCTTTTTGCCACCACAGAGTCGTTCTGATACCTGTGTGAGAAGTTCATTTAGTCCATGCAGATACTAAAAATGGCCACAGTGAAAGACTAGACTAGCAATTCATCTAGTTTTTATTTTATCCACCCAGTCCCTTGGCCATGTGAGGGGAGGGGATGTAGATATGGTGGAACAATACAATGTCAGGCTGTATGCTGTCTCTTCCCCCGGCCACTGCCAAAAGCTGCAGTGGGCTACGTGGCGAATGGTTGAGTCTGAATTCCAGCAAACTGCATGAAGTGCCTTTCTTGCTTTTGGAGGTGGTCTAGCTTCTGGTAACTTTGCCTCCCAAACCTGTTGTTCCAACAGGAGAAGGTCAGGTGAGTGAGAGGAGCCATTTGATTGACAGTGCTATTTTCTACCTGTATTTTAGGTCACTTCCTGGGTAACAACACTGTGATTGATGTACTGAGACAAGCAGGATTTGAAGTGGAGCACACCCCTCCTGGACAACCAATTGGAAAGTAAGCAGCTGCCCACAGATTATTAATCACTTTCTCTCCTTTTCCTTTTTTCTCTCCCTTTTTCTGTGACTAAGCAAGATTATTGCATTAGTACAGGAGGTGGGTAAGGGTGTGAGGAACCTCTCTTTACCACACAAGTTCCAGACAAAAAGTGGATTGTAAAGCATCTGTAGAGTGAGTTTGGAACAGATTGAGCTTCAGTGGCTAGTTTTTTTCACTTGTGGACAGTATTCATATCATAGCTGCTTAACTGCACCAGATGAGAACCACCACAGTTTCTTTCTGTTTTCAAGAAACATCTTGTGCTCATTTTCCCCCATAGCTATTTTGTCCTTTTCTCTCCGTGGGGTTTTAGTTGCTTCTCCATTGCAGGGCAATAGACTGCCACCAACTTCATTTTTCAGACCTCTCTGGCAGGCTGCTCTTCTTCAGGTGGCATTTCAGTTTTGCCTGAAGGACCAGATTTAATGTAGCAGATGCACCTTGGAAAGTGTGTTGGGTAGGTAAAAAGCGATTCTATATTCCCTGAGCTTCTCCATCCATCTGATCCAGTAAAACAGGCAAGAAGGTTTGATTGCCAGGGTCTTGATGATCTTCATTAGTATAAGATAAAGTATGGCACAAAATTGTCCTCAAGTGGTGAAACAGACTTCCTTCCTCCCCTAGACTTTTCTCTTTCCTGGCCATTTAGCTGAGGTCTCTGTCTAAAGATATCATAGACAAGAAGCTGGGAGGGATGGAGAGAGACTATCTAGCTTTGCAAAGTTAACCTTTCCCCTGCATTCTGCAGATAAAAATTGGCCGAGATTGCTCTATCACAGGATTGTTATCCTCGTTAGGAGAAAGCATTAGCAGCATGTTCCTGTCCCTGGTGGGCAGACATGACATGGTCCAAATATGAGGTGAGTTTCAATATGGAGGATTAATCTCAGGGCTAGTGGACCATGTCTGAAAAAGCTATGTTTAATATAGTTGGAAAATCTGGCTGATCTAACCTTGTTTGTGAAACACCCGCAATGATTCATATAGAATATAATATGGCTCAACTATACATAAGTGTCTTTGACAGAGCATTTATCCTAAATGCTTCTTGGAATACGTTGAGCAATAAAAGCCCAGTCTTAAATAACAATGGGGAAAAGAGAAAGAAAAAGCTATCAAACACAAGGAAGAGCATATATTCAGGGGAGGTTTAAGAAGCACTTTGGCAGAGGGAGAAAAATCAACATGGCAAAGGGATGAGCACTAAAGACTGCAACTGGCTGGAGCTGGAAATTTTGGCTAAAATCAACAAAAATGCCTGTTTATAAAAAAACCAGCAAAACAGAAGAACCAGGCAAAGTATACCAAAACTGCTGGGGTGTACCTTTCCTAGTTTTCTGACAAAGAAACTTTCCTTTCGGGGAAGCAGGCACTTTCCCCAGCAATTTTCATTTAGTTGAAAGTATCATCTTCCCATGAAAAGTATTTCAACTGGAAATTCTTAAACTATTAATTTATTGGCTGTTTGCAAGCCCTTGAGAAGAAAAAAAGATACAGTAGCGTGAGAGATGTCCAAGAATAGTCTCTGCTCTTTATGGTCTTGAGATATGTCTATACACGTCATCACAGACTGGAAGTAACGTGATGGGGCAGGAAACTTGAAACAGAGCCACTGCTTAATGTTGACTTATTTGCAAAAAGGGGCACCTCTGTGTATGCATTCCTCCACCTTGGCAGCAGTGTCTCTTGTTCATGACGTCTTCCCTAAAATTGTCAGTCCCTGGGGGAAATATTCTTAAAAGTGAGTGGACTTGGACTCCTGCCTAGAATGGTGCATATGTCCTCAGTTGAATTATCCTACACTTGGTAGCTTCTGTTCCCAGCTCCAGACCAGAGTGTTGATCCCTTTGTCTGGACTAGTACCCTAATTTCAGTGGTGTCTGTCCCGAACGTTGAACATACAACACTTTATTAAGGGCTGTACTGATGTGCATAAGTACTGGATTGAGTTGAGAGAGAGCGTGTGGTTGTATTCCATAAAGATTAGATGCTCTGCTGGTGGACGTGTTCCTATGGTCTGATGATACATACAGATCAGCCAGTTTTAAATGAGAATACAGAAAGAAAAAGAGATAACATGGTAAAGAAATCCAGAATTGCCACTAAATTTCATTATTCAAGGTGCAGAAACAGTAGAAGATTATAGAAAGTTTATATAGTCTATATTAGACTATAGTCTGTATAGTACATATAGAAAGTTTAAATAAAGGGAGTTAAAATATGTTCACAGGAAACAGCTTACTGCCTTTAGAAAAAAAAGAGACTTCCAGACCTGCACGTCAGGGACTGTATTTTCATTGTCCTACAGCTGTGGTCATCAGAAATGCTTGGGGCTCCCTCTTGAAAACGAGGAGGCTGCTGCAAAGAATTTTGGCTCTCTTTTTTAGAATAGCCTGTATTTTATGATTTCTGGGTGAGCTGGAAAAGACTATCTAATCAAACACAGTTATGACAAAAGTTGACAGCATATTCAGAAAGCATGGCCAGATAATTTTTGTGACGTTGGGGTTATGTTGCTGTAATTGAGAGTCTTAAGGAACGTGGCGTTTTTGTCTACCCTTCTTTTTTTGCTCTCTTTCCTTTTTAAAAGGTGACATAAAACCATTTGAAAACAGTTAGAAAGGCCCAGAAGAGGAACCATTTCAGGGTAGTGGCTATACTGAGCACATGTATACATAGAATAAGCAAGAAGCTCAATAAATTTTGAGCTGCCTGCAAGCAGAAATTGTTTTATGGATCATAGAGATGCAGGTGTTTTCATCTTGACTCTTGTGGAGCCATACATGAAACAAGAGGTATTTCTCTCCTCTGCTGAAACCCAAAAGAGACATTTCTGCTTTTCTTCCAAATAAGTTGTATAAGGGAGTCAAGCCCACTGCATTGTATTCTGGCACTGACAATTGAAAAATTGGATAGTGTTCAGGGAAGATCAGCTGGACTCTAATGTAGATATTGGTGGGGGTGGACAGCACATGGAAAAAATGCAAGAGTTGGAAAAAAATGAAGCAGCTGCATGCTTATGTTTTGGCCAAGGGAATTCCAGAAAGGATTGTTGTGGACTGATTGTGCCCGGAAGGACCAAGGGGAACAATTTCAGCTGCACATAGGAACATTTGGAGGTGTATCATAGAATCATAGAATGGTTAGAGTTGGAAGGGACCTTAAAGATCATCTAGTTCCAACCCCCTGCCATGGGCAGGAACACATTTTACTAGACCAGGTTGCTCAAAGCTCCATCCAGCCTGGCCTTGAACACCTCCAGGGATGGAGCCTCCACAACTTCCCTGGGCAATTTGTTCCAGGCCCTCACCACCCTCTGAGTGAAAATTTTTTTCTTAATACCTATTCTAAATCTCCCCTCTTCCAGTTTGAATCCATTCCCCCTTGTCCTATCACTACATGCCCTTGCAAAAGGTCCCTCTCCAGCTTTCTTGTAGGCCCCCTTCAGATACTAGAAGGCTGCAATAAGGTCTTCCCAGAGTCCTCTCTTCTCCAGGCTGAACAACTCCAACTCTCTCAGCCTGTCTTCATAGGAGAGGTGCTCCAGCCCTCTGATCATCTTTGTGGCCCTCCTCTGGACCCGCTCCAACAGGTCCATGTCCTTCCTATGTTGGGGTCTCCAGAGCTGAACACAGTATTCCAGGTGGCGTCTCACAAGAGCAGAGTAGAGGGGCAGAATCACATCCCTCGACCTGCTGGCCACGCTTCTTTTGGTGCAGCCCAGGATACCGTTGGTCTTCTGGGCTGTGAGCGCACATTGCTGGCTCATATTGAGTTTCTCATCAACCAACACCCCCAAGTCCTTCTCCTTAGGGCTGCTCTCAATCCATTCTCCACCCAGCCTGTAGTCTTGCATGGGATTGCCCCAGCCCATGTGACGGACTTGTTGAACTTAATTTAATGTGGTAATTAATTTCCACAGTAGAGCTCAGAGAGTTGTGTGAGCTCAGAGAGTTTACAATAAACTCTCAGACAGGCAGAAATAAAAGCTTGTCCTGAATTCTCCCATTCTGAAAGAAGGTAGCATTGAGCAAAATATCTGAAAGAGCAGTCTGATGGCAACGAGCACTGCCGCGTGTTTTTCTGGAGGAGGAAACGGTGTGCGGTATGTCAGGACTTGGCGTGTGGCAGAAGGTCAGAGCACACACACAGTCTGAGCTCACACAACAAGCCCACTTGGCCTTGTTGAACTTCATGAGGACTGCATGGGCCCACCTCTCAAGCCTGTACAGGTCCCTCTGGATGGGATCCTTTCCCTCCAGCGTGTTGACCGCTGCACACAGCTTGGTGTCATTGGTAAACTCACTGAGGGTGCACTCCATCCCAGCATCCACGTCACCAAACAAGATGTTAAACAAGCACTGGTCCCAGTACTGACCCCTGAGGAACACCACTCATCACTGCTCGCCACTTGGACATTGAGCCATTGACCGCAACTCTTTGAGTGTGATCATCCAGGCAATTCCTTATCCACCGAGTAGTCCATTGGTCAAATCAATTTTTCTCCAATTTAGAGACCAGGATGTCATGTGGAACGGTGTCAAATCATATTGAAACTGAGGGTGGTTCTGGCTGAATATCAGTACTTCTTGACAGTAAGTTGCAGCACAGTCTTTCTCAGGTTAAGTCAGAATCCCTATTATTTGAAACAATGAAAGTAATTTCAGCAAAGTACTCATCCTACATCCTACTTACTACCAATGCTGCCTTGCCAAAAAAGCAAATACTATTTTTCTTTAATATCTCTGTTCCTAGAATAGTATGATTATTATGATTGAAATGATTAGTAGTCTGAACTTTATTGTTCGATAATAATGAAGCAGTGGTATCGTAAATAGGTATTGACGTCTCATCTCTGCCATCCATTTCCGTTTCAGAAAGAAAAAGAGAATATCTTTTTAGAAAATAACTAGTACTGTTCCTGTGTATCAGAAAAGCCTTGAAAAGAGTGAAACACG